GAGTTGAGGTCAAGGGAGAAGGTACGCAGCAGGGCCTGTGAGTGACCGCCGCACAGTGTGCACCCACACCCCCACCCCCACCCCACCCACCCCCGCCACCCTGAGCAATGGCTCCGGGCCTTAGGAACGTCACCTTTGCAAACTCCTCACTCAGCTCTTCCGGTTTCTGTTCCACCATCTCCACCTTCTCCTCGGGACTCAACGCTGACGAATAAAAAGGCAGCACTTTTTCTTCTTCTGTTTCGTATTTCCTACATATCTCTGCAAGCTTGAGAATCTTTTCACCCTTTTGGAAGCAGGGAGCAATCTTTTACTAGGGGAGGGGAAAGGAGTTGTTCCCCTGGCTGGAATCCAGGGCAGAGACTCAGCCAGATGGGAGACAACCGCGCAAAAGAAAACCTGGCACAGGGGCTTGCCCTGTGCCAGGCCTTATTCCAAGTGTTTCCTGTTTACTAATTCATCTCCTTTACCATGCGAGAGCAGAGGGAGTGCAGAATAAGATCCTGCGAGTGAGTGTCCATGCAGGTAGGGAGCAGGAGGGTGGCTCTCTGCCGCCTCCCACCTTTCCCAAACCCTCTCACCTTGCAGACTCCTTGGCGTTGCTGGGCCCCGCCCGCCCCCTGCTTTACCTTGTCCACAATCCTCCTCAGGGTCTTGAGGGTGTCATTACTCTCCAGCGTGAGCTTGACCAGATTCTCCTTTGAGACTCCCCGGGCCTGAGTCCTTTGAGCCTTCAGTTTCCGTAGTTGTATAAGGATCAGCTCCTTGTCGTTACGAATGTACTGGTTCTGCTCTTCACTCTCACGGTTGTGCACCACGATTTTGCCTCTTAAGACACCGATGGCATCCTGGTCAGGAGGAGACGGGATAGATGCCAGGGAACACTGACCGGCTGGAGGGCTTCCGTGAGAGCAGTCGGAGTGAGACCCCCTCCTTCCACCGGGGATAAGGCCCCATGGGGATGAAGGGGAGAGGAGAGGGCTGGGGCCGCAGCTGTAGCTGTGAGTCATTCCAGGCTGGCCGCACCCACCTGTAGTTTCTGTATTTTTTTCATCTGGGCTTCAATCTCTTTGGAACTCTTTTCACCCTTCACCTTCAGGGCCTCAAAGGCAATCTTTCTGTCCTCTGTGGCATCCGTGTAATTCTTGAGTGCTTCCTGGAACCTTCTCCACAGGTCTTCCACGATGTTCTCCAGTTGCAGTCGTAGAAAGTGCTTCTCTTCTAAATTCTAGGAAGCGGGCCCAGAGTCGCCGTGCTTAGAATGGTCCTTTTAGGACCCTTTCACTTCCACCTGCAACCTCACCTCCTACAACTGCTGGCCGCCTAGGATAGTGCAGGGGTCCCCCATGAAAACGGGCACAGAGGCATAACTGGCAGATGGCACTGCTGCGTGCTGTGGGCGGGGTGGACCTGTGGGGCACTGGCGGGGACCTGCTCCATGGAAAGGGGGCCGCAGCTGCTCGGCTCCACATGAATGTCACTATTTGGAAATGTGGCCCCGTGTTGATCTTTCTACAAGGCTGGAGACGGGGATTTTCATTTGATATGCCCCAATTGTTCAACGTAGAAAGCATGCCTAAATTTTTTATAAAACAACCGTGGGGCAAAATAAGAACAAAGAACTCCATACTTCAATTTCGGTTGCAACCTCCCAGATAGTGGAGAGCACTTTGGGCCGAGGGTCAGGAGGCCTGGGTTCTCCTGGCTCTCCCTTAGACCTATAGCATGTCATTTCACTACTCCAGGCCTTAGTTTCTCCATCTGCCAAGTGAAGCCAGATGGTCTCTGGGGTGATTTTTAGCTTTATTGGACTCCACTAGCATTTCAGAAGGGCTCTGTTTCCCAACCGATTTTCATGAAATTACAGAAAGCAGCACAGGTACCTTACGGTGGCTACAGATATTCTCTTGACTGCTGGCATCTGAGACACTGGCCTCCACCCTGGTTAAAGCAGCAGCATCTAGCTCTGATACCATATATACTCGAGTACAAGCGGACCCGAATATCAGCCGAGGCACCTAATTTTACCACCAAAACTGCATTAAAAATGTGCTGAAAAGCTCGGCTTATACACGAGTATATACGGAAGTCTTAAGAGTCTTGAGCATTTCCCTCTCCCTTAACTACCTGCTCCCAGCCTGCTCTCGCTCTGTACCTTGTTTTTGAGATCATCCCACAGGCTCTGGAACTCCAGCTTGCTCTCGTACTCAGTGTCGATGTAGTTCTGCTCCACGGCCATGAAGACGTCTTGTAGATAGTGCATCTCTTTCTCGTGCTGGTCAATGATCATCTTCCTGTGGGAGACAAGACCCTGGGGGCTAGAGCACACAGACCAGCAGCGACAGCCTGCTCTAAGCCCTGTGGAATAAAGAAGGGAGGGAGGGCTCTCTTCCTTTTAGGGTGGGAAGGAGTAAGATCATCACTGTCTGTTGATTTCTGACTAGGTAACGACACAGGAGGCTTATAATTCCAAGGGACACTGTGAGAGGTTTCCCTCCTAGCTCCACCGAAAAGTAGTTGGTGCGGGCATCGGAGACAGGGGCCCTGACCCTGGGGCTGGGCAAGGGACGCTACCGCTCAATGCACGGTTAAACCTGAATGAATGTGATCTCCCCTGTAGTGGCCAGGTCTTGATCAAGGTGGGATGTTACAAAGGGCTAGCCACACTGCTTACAGGTAGCTCCTCTGCTGTCTGGCCACGTCCCCACCCCCAGACTCAACTTCTAGGGTAGCAGTTTTCAACCTGTGGGTCTCGACAGGGGGGTGTCACCACAACATGAGGAGCCGTGTGAAAGGGTTGCGGCGTTAGGAAGGTTGAGAAGCCCTGCTCTAGGGCTCCACACCTTTCTGTCTCAAACTCCTTGGTTAGAGCCTCCAGCTCCATGTTGTAGCTTTCCTCCAGGAGGCTGAGCCGGCGCCTCTGCAGGGCCAAGAGCTGATCGACGTTGTGCAGGTGGCTGCGCAGGGCATGGGAGTACTGCTCCTCAGCTTCTGCCAGGTCCTTAGCTAAAGACTAGGCAGGAAACAGAGAGTTACCATTCTGGCTGGAGGGCATGTCTGCGTGACAAAAGAAGACGATTCAGCTGGCTAGCAGGAGGATGGCAGTGGTGACACGTCCTTCCAGTTCCTAATGCCAGTTCTTTGACTCTGGGCGTCCTGGCTCTCCCACTCTTGAATGTAAAGCAAGAGCCCCGTGGAGCCAGCCCATGGTCTGGGGATAGCAAACGTTTACAGTGACTGAGCTACCACTCAAAGGGACCAGGGATTCTCGGAGAAATGGCCGCTTTGAAGTCCGAGGCAGAAAACAAGCAAACTGAGCTGGGAACATGTTGTTACCCAACACAGCAAAGAAGCTATAAAAGACCAAGAGTCATGACAAGAGGACTCATGAACCAATATGAAGTAGCTCAAAAGCTGAGCACCGTGTTTCCCAACCAACAGTACTCTGCACTGTCATCTCGCCACTTCCTCAGTAGGAGCTGAAACCTCTTCTTCCAGCTACTTGGATTTCAACACGCTTGTGACTGCCTCGACCAATAGAACAGCAGAAGTGACACTGTGCCGGTTCGAGGCACAGCCCCCAATGGGTCTGGCCACTTTTTCCTGTCCCTTGGAATACACTTTGCTTCCTTTAGGAAGCCTCTATGCTTTGAGAAGCCCAGGGCTACACATGGAGGGGGGGGTGGGTGCAGGGGACATGAGAAACTCCAGTCAACAGCCCAGCTGAGCTCCCAACTGACAGAATCTGTCAGCCACCAGGATGTCCAACCCAGTAGAGCCTTCACATGACTGCAGCCACAGCTGCCATTTGATTGCAATTGGCTGCGCGACCCCAGACACCCACCCTCGTGAGCTCAGTCAGCCTACGGAACCGGAAAAGATCACGATAAATGGTTTTCAATCACTACTTTAGAGGTGGTTTGTTTTGGAGCAATAAAGAATTAGAACACTTCGACTGGCAAGAAAAGGCCAGTCTGAACATCAGTAAAGATCATAATTGCAATGGATCAAAACACATCAGGTAGGTTTGACTTGGGAGTTCATAAGCCAAGCCCATTGCCAGTGAGTTTATTCTGACTCAGAAAGCCTATGGATAGAGTAGAAATGCCACATAGGGGCCCAAGGCTTTACAGAAGCAAGTTGCTACATCTTTCTCTAGCCCAGCAGCTGGTGGGCTCGAATCCCTCTCCACTGTCAATAAAACACAGGAAAACAACCTTCTGGACTTCTCTGCTTTCAGCCAAGATCCAGCCGACATCAACAATGACATCCCTCATGCCACGTCCTTTTCCGACTCTGGCTTGCATTTCTGACAGCTCCCTCTCAATGTACTGTTGCAAATGTTTTAAAATGTTTCTCGATAGCATTTTCCTTGTGTATGATATTAATGCTATTGTGAGATGATTTACACATTCCATGGGCCCATCTCTATTGGAATGGGCACAAATATGGTTCTCTTCCAGTCAGCTTTCAGTGTTGCAACCACTTGTTGCAACACCTACACTGCTGTTGTCAGTTCCTGGAGCCTTGTCTCTTGCCAATGCCTTCCGTGCATCTTAGATGCCTTTCCAGAGCCACGGTGCTGATCATATGCACCTCTGAATGTCCACCAATTCTTTTTGGTAAGGCGACTCACTGTATTATTTCCATCATCTTCTTTTGACTTTTCGTTTTTTGTTTTTTTTATTTACAGGCTTTTCTCTTTTTTTTTTTAATCAATTTATTGGGGCTTTGACTTTTCCTTTAAAGTCCATATTTTATTTCCATAGGCTAGCATAAGTTGAACATGAATCATAAAATTGTAATAAAATGGATACACCATCCCACACCAGCTAGCCATCCTGCTCATGGTAGAAGGGTGAAGCTGACCTGGGTTTAAAAATGTCTAACTTCTTTTGCTGTTTCATGCAGATTCAGTTTTGGCTCCTAGAATCCCTCACTATTGCAACTCCGTGACCGAATCCCTTCGTCGTCAGTTCTCCCGCAGAAGGAACGTGGCGTGTTCTTCCCTGCTGGCTTTCTAACTCTCCATCTGTGTGGATTTCAACAGAATACTTTTCTTTTTGAGCTACCCGTTTGGCTCTTTTAGTTCACAGTTTCTTCCCGTCAGTTTCCCTGCCCTATGTTCAAGAGGAGTTTTCAGAGCCTCCTCTGATAAGCACTTTAGCCTTTCTTTCTTTCCTGACTTTAGTGTCTTCAAGACATCCCACACGCATTTCGTCTGTGGTCCTTGGTATTCAGTGCGTCAAACCTCTAAATTAAGGTAGGAGCTAATCAAGGGCATACTTTGGCTTTCATGGATTTGTTTCAATTTTCTTCAACTTCCACCTGCATTTGCATATGAGCAATTGATGGTCTGTCCCATCGTTGGTCTTTGGCCGTGTTCTGACTGATGATATGGAGCTTCTCCATCATTTCTGCAGATGTAGTCAATTTGATTCCTGTGTGTTCCATCTGGTGAGATCTATGTGTATAGTTGCTTTGTTTGTCGTCAGGGGGGAAAAGGTATTGGCAATGAGTAGGTCATTGGTCTTAAAATTCTATTATGGGATCTCTGGTTTCTATCACCAGGGCCACGTTTTCCAACTGCTGATTTTTCTTCATTGTTTCCATTTTTCTCATTCCAACCACCCGAAACTATCGACGCACCTTGACAACATGTTTGATCCATTTCAGACAACAGAAGTTGCTAAAAACCATCGATAACTGTATTAGCTGGTCTTTGTAGGAGCATGTTGTCCTATCACCGACACCACTGGACTTCGGGACAGATTTTGGAATGTTCTGTTTGATGATGAATGTAACACGTGCCTCTTGAATTTGTCATAGCCAGCACAGTAGACCATTTGTCTCAGTCAAAATGGCCCAAACCAGCCCATTTCGGATCACCAACCCCTAGGACTGCAATCTTTATGAGTTTTATTTCATTTTCAATTACTTCCAATTTTCCTAGATTCATACTTTGTATGTTCCACATTTTGAGGACTAATAAATGTGTGCAGCAGCTTTCTTCTCCCGTTGCCACAGCAGCACGTGACAGCTCCAGGAGCTTTGTTCCATGCACAGGACGGAGGTTGGCTCTGCTTTGAGGAGGCAGCTTTGCCTCAGTCGTACTTTGAGTGCCTCATCTGCTGGCCCCGTATCATCAGACAGTGTTCCACTGCTAGTCATACGGTTTTCAAGGGCTAATCTTTTCCAGAAATGGGCCACCTCTTGCTTCTTCCTAGTCTGTCTTGGACTGGCAGCTCCCCGAAAACCTGCCCATTGTGGGTGGTACTGTTGTAATTTGCAATACTGGAGGCATAGCTTATCGCATCGCATCAAGACACAAGCCACCACAGGATGACAAACGGACAAACTACACTTCTGGGTAAGTGAATGACAAATGAGGGAAAGTATCTCTTTACAGAAGTATTCCGATTAACAAGTGAAATGTAATTATGCTATTATAGTGTCAGCATTCTGCCACTCCCAGTGAATTCATGAATCAAGAATAGCAGCTAGCATCACAAAAAGAAAGCTCTCTTTCCTGATGGAAGAAGACAGTATCTCCTGTGTGTCTAGTAGTCTCCCCCCCCAAAAAAAAAAGAGACATATATATATATATATAGATGTCTTTCTAATTTAGCTAATTTAGCCTTCAGCTCTGATTACTACTGAAGTACAGGAAATACAGAAAACAAACACAAAACACCAAAAACCTCATTGCCATCGAGTTGATTCTGACTCATAGCAACCCTATAGGACTCTTGGTGACCCTATAGGACAGAGTAGAACTGCCCCTGAGGCTGTAACATTTTACGGGAGTAGAAAGCCTCCTTCCTTTTGCCCTTGGAGTAGATGGTGGTTTTAAACCAGTAACTTTGTGGTTAGCAGCTCAATAAGTAACCCACTACTCTACCTGAGAACAAAGGGACACCTTAAAGCACAGTGTTGCTGTCGGGTGCCATCAAGCAACCCTATGTACAATAGAATGAAATACCCCCCGGCCGTGTGCCGCCTCAGAGTGGTCAACCTCCAGGGCGTGGATGTAGCAGCACTTTGAGAAGTAGCACATCATGCTTCCACAATCATTCTTAGGTTTGAGCCCATTGTTGCAGCCACTGTGTCCATCCATCTTGTCGAGGGTCTTCCTCTTTTCTGCTGCCCCTCCACTTTTTAAAGCATGATGTGCTTTTCCAGGGACTGGTCTCTCCTGAGACCACGTTCACAGTATGTGAGACAAAGTCTTGCCATCCTTGCTTCCAAGGGCCACACTGGCTGTACTTCTTCCCAAGCAGTCGATGGTACTTTCAGTAGTCTTCACCAGCACTGCAACTCGAATGCATCGATTCTTCTTTGGTCTTCCTTATTCCACATCCAACTTTCACGTGCATATAAGACTGTTCAAAAATACCACGGCTTGGATCAGGGGTACTTCAGCCCTCAAAGTAACATCCTTGCTTTTCAACACCCCAAAGAGGATTTGTGCAGCAGACTGACCCTGTGCAACCCATCGTTTGGTCCCTTGACCGCTGCTTCAATGATCACTG